CGCAAATGGATTGATTTCTTTAGGGTCAGCAAAAGGATTTATATCTCTTCCACTCATTATAATAAGAATTTATAATTTTATATAGCTAAAAAAAAAATTACTTTCAATGCACTTCTTCAACGAAACCTAAAACAATTTTTTAAGCGTTTTATTATATTCTAAAGTCTTTCAGGAGGAGCGAAAACTATTTAGATAATTACGTAAGGATTAAAAATGGGAGATACCTTTTCGCCCATATTAATTTTTATTTCCTTAAAAAACAAGTTAACAAACTTATCCTTCGTTAACTTGTTTTTTGTTAGTTCGTTTTTGTTGTTTTAAAGGGTTAGTATTGTCAATAAAAGAGTTGTACCAGCCGAACCCTATTCCATTATTGGCTTGTTTGTTTTGCACTTCTGTATTAATGTTGCTTGAGTATGAGAATGAAATTATTCTTTTGAGTAAGGAGATGGCCATTAATTACGTCAACATTTTCTGGCTCATCCCCCTTGTCAACAACTTATCAAACCTTCAGATACGCTTCCTTCTTCACCCCCCCCCCCTTCATCTTACTTCCTATAAAAATACGTCAACATTCAATGACCCTCCCCCTCTCCCCGAATAAATCGATTTCGATGACAGTGTTGAATATTTATCATATTTTATGTACAAGTCAAAATTCGATCCTCCTCACTTTAACTTTAGATCTAATTCAATTTTACTGTTAAAATCAATTATTTCTAATAGAGTCTAGTATAACAAAAAAAGTATTTAACAAATTGCATAAACCATGGGTCGGCAACATTGAGACGGAAGAGTCAAAAATTATAGTTTTTTCTCTTTAAAAATTTTTCAATTTTTAAAGAGCTTCCAACATCTTTATTTTAATATTATTGTATAATTGTGCATGGAGCTATAGAGCTGCATATTGACATCGAAAGAACCACACGAGGCTAGCGAGCTGCACGTTTTACCCCTGGTATAACATTTAAATAATATATGTACTTGCATAAATCTATTTTGCTTGCACAGCAAACTAACCAACAACAACTTTGAACAGAAAAATATTGTTACATATCACGTATATGCTTTTTTAGTTCTGTATGTGTCGGGTCTTTTTAAAGCATAACACTGTTTTTAAAAAGTAGGAATACAATAGCTTTATTAAAATACTGAATTTAAACTTATTTTAAAAAGTAACATTGTTAACGTCAACTGGTCTTAACTTCCCCCTCCCTCCCCTTAGTTGTTAAGTGTCAAAATTTTTTTTTTTTTAATAGCTTAACAACAACATTAATACGAATTTTTGAAAGTTTTCAATTTTTTGAAGAGAAAGGACACAACACAAGTTACACAGTAAAATCAGTCGGAAGGGCCCAAAGTTATTAGGAGCCCAACCAAAATTTTTCAATTTTTTTTTTTTAAAGTTGTTATTCTTAAAAATAATATGCATATATATATATATATATATATATATATATATATATATATATATATATATATATATATATATATATATATATATATATATATATATATATATATATATATACATGGCAACATTAGCAATTTTTGCTATTATTATATTGCTATGAATTACTAACTCTTTTTCAGACTAATTTTTTTAGCTTTAATAAGAATCTTGACTAATACTTCAAATAGTGATAATAGAGCTTTTTATTTTTTTATATTTGAAAAATTAAAAATAATTTGTAAAAAAAAACAACTCATGAATATACAAATAAGTTAAGTGGTAAGCATGACCTCGTAAAGTTTTAAAGCAAAGTACAATAGTGAAACTATTGTATTAAATATCAACTCGCTTTAAAAAAAAGATTGGTAAGACGGACGTTGAGGTGGCAGTGGAGCTTTTTTTTTTTTTTTTCTAATATATTTCGCTGTTTATATAAAAATAAAATAATATAATTACAATGAAACCTTTACATTACACAAAAAATATATATAAATCAGACACGGGCTCAAGAAGATAAGGATGACTGGTGTCACCACAATCTTTTCATAGAGCCCCTTTACAATATCATTTAAAGCCCACATGGCTTTAGAAAATTTGCAACAAATATTTTATCTGTTAAATACTACGAGAAGAATAAAGAAAAACTCATATATACATATATACTCATATATACATATACCAATAAAAACACACACATATACAAACATACTTACATATATGTCAGAAATTAAGGAGATGCAGTTTCATCTGTCGTTTAAAAGACAAAAGAGCTTTTCAAATTTTTTATATTGTTATTTTTTAATTGATTCCATAATGACGGGCCTTGGCTAATTATTGAGAATTTCGACACTTGCGATTTTACTATGCTCAAGTGATAGTTATGGTTGTTATTTGACCGAAGATTGTATTTTTGTGAAAATGCTGATGTAAAAATATCAGAAAACACTTTTGGCAGCAAGTTATTCTTATATTTATACATAAATATTAATATTTGAAACGAGTTAAGTTTTGATATATTTAAAACATTCAAGTATTTCATTACAGGGGAAGGGTTTTCTAATCTCTTTAAATAGTTAACTGATTTACATGCGTGGTTTTGAAGGCTCAGTAATCTTAATAACTTAGTTTTGTGTGTGTTAGCGCAAATAATATTAGCGTAGGAGACATGATAATGAAGAAAACTAAAGTAAAGCATTTTGCGTGATTTATAATCAAGAAAGGCCCTAGATTTATATAATACGCTTATAGCAGAAGATATCTTTGCTTCAATGAGACTAATATGTTTTCTTCATTATGGGTTCTCATCAAATATTATTCCCAAAAACTTTGAATGGTTTACTTGATTTCTTTAATTTTTATTGATTGACAGTTTTGGCAACTTTAATGGAAGATTAGTTGGTTGTCTTATTTTATGAAGGAGAGTATAACTTGTTTTTTCACAATTTAATGATAACTTATTATCTATTTTTATTAATGAGCTATCTTCATTAATGATGTATTTATCTCTCATGAAGTTAAATAGTTCTATAAGACCATTATCAAACAAGTTTTGGTATCTGTAAAAGTTAAAATAAAATTATACTTATCTAGGTTATACATAGACCAAATGATATTAATTAAATATAATATATTGCTGAATCCTTCAAATTAGCTCATAGCTTAGTTAGGAAGCCCTATGATTGGTAATTTTAACATTTCACATTCACTATTTTGGAATTTTTATTTACCTGCAGCAGTAATTCTGTTTTAAAATTGTTTTCTAATTCTATATTAGGTAATAATACTAAAAGCCGCTTTAGTATTATTTGATGAATTTTAGTTTTAAAATTGTTTCCCGAAAGTAAATCTCAATTGTTTAGTTACAGCAAACGTGATTATGATTCAATATCAAACTTTATTGCATCAACCAACTGGAATATTGTATTTCTGCATAAAACCTCGGATCAAACGTTTATTTTATTAATTTCTAACGATTGTACTGATTGCAAATATTTTATCCCCTAGGTTAATAAAATAAAGAAAAGATATGATCCTTGGGTTACTCCACATATTAAAAACCTAATCCGATTGCTTACCAGCTAACACAAAACGTTCAAAAAATGTTGCAAACGTTCAAGGACGTTCATAGAATGTGCTCGAACGTTCACAACGTTCGTCGAATGTTTTTGAACGTTTTGTGTTAGCTGGGTTGGTACATCAACTGCTCAACTAAATGGAAGAATAATAAATTTAGAATAAACTGCTATCTTCCCAATTGTTCCGAAAAAGCAGAAATATTTAAAGCAAAAAGAGCACATAAAAAAAGAAATCATATCAACATCCACCTAAAAAATTTCCATCGTTAAAAAGTGATACTTACCTGAATAAACTTATAACAACAGCTAGGGTTTTTCTATTTCATACATTATTAACTTACTAATCTAAATCCCTATAAATATTTTTTCCATTTACAAAAATCTTTCATAAATTCTTTAATTCTGGAATACTACTCACTTTCTAGATTATAGCAAATTTTAGTTTATCTATAAAAAAATGGAAGATAAATTACTTTTTGAAAACTAACGACCTATTTCACTAAACTCTGTTGCCTGCAAATTTGTTAAAGTACTTGTAAAGAAATACAAAAATATACAAGTACTTTTAATAGAACAAAATCTTTAAGCACGTTAACGATAATGAAATGTCGTCTGCAAATCATCATGGCTTTCTTCACCATAAATTACGCGTGAATAATTTAATAAGGGCTTTTGATATTATTTCATCTTCTATAACATTTCATCAGTTTAATGATGTAATCTCGACTTCGCCAAAGCTTTGATTCTCTACTTCTAAACGGACTTATGTTAAATTTAAGATATTTTGGAATAAATGGGAAACAAAATACAATAAATCAATCCCTAAAAAGCTCTACTAAAATGCGTAACTTAGGTGTCATTATTTAATGTAACGCCAAGTGGAGCACACATTTTTGAAAAGATGCCTCAAAACCCTTATAAATACTTGGTATGCAAAAAGAAATTCTTTTTCATTTATGAAAGTATGACTTTCAAGAGAAATTTTCAGCACTTTTTTCCCGCATTTTCCACATTGAAAACTTTCGCATTTTACCTGTGTCCTTAAAAACATATTATGATGTAAGTTGCTCTTTTAAAAATATAATAGCAGCGCTTAGGTATATTTTACGGTACCCATTGGCGTAGCAACTTCAAAAATATCCTTAAGCACATTAAAACACATTTATAGACATCAATTGCGCAAATTGTCTGCACTAAACCTGTAAACCTAATAACTAATAAAGCAGAAATAAATCAATTAAATTTAAAAAGTGTTATAGACCAATATCCACGATATAAATACAAGAAAAAAACTTTTATTAGATTTTTAACTTATTAGGCTTACATAGTGTAACATACTAGTTTCTACTTACTTAAATCAAAACTGTATTTAAAAAAAAAGTTTTTGTTTTATGTATAATTTTTGTCAAGAAAATAGAAAGTAGGGGGTGGGTGGGAGATAGCAGAGAAGTAATTTAGGCGCCCGAATTAAAGACCAATTTGCAGCTAAAAACAAAAGAAAAAACTTTCATCAGATTTTCTCTTTCGACTAAAATAGAATATACTTGCATAGTGTAACATTCTGGTTTCTATTTAACTTAAAAACAAAAGTGTATTTAAAAACAAGATTTTT